TATTCAAGGAGGTTTGAACTCAAGGCCTGGGCACTGTCCCTGAGCACTTCTTCTCAAGGCTAGCACTGAACCACTTTGAGTTATAGTACCACTAGTATTCAAGGAGGTTTGAACTCAAGGCCTGGGCACTGTCCCTGAGCACTTCTGCTCAAGGCTAGCACTGAACCACTTTGAGTTATAGTACTACTTGCAGAGTTTAGCTGGGAGATGGAGTCTTAGGGATTTTTCAGCCTGGGCTGACTTTGAACTACAGTCTTTGCCTCAAAAGCCCTTTATTATTTCCAATTAAAGCAACAAGGAGATCAAGTAGAATAAGTAGAGCTTACCTGGTTCTTATCAAGAATTGCCAACAAATATTCTGAAATGACAAAACTCATTAGATGTGATGAGAATTTTAGCACAGATATGCCCAGTATTTTAGAACCACGTAGTCAGTAGTAGAATACACAACACAAAAGGCAAAACTCAAAACCTAAAATTTTGACAACATTTAGACATCTTTGCTAACAAAGCACATCAGATGGTTGGGCCTCAGTTACCAGGGCCTGTGAAAAGAGCAACTTGTTAGCAAGGCACCTTAGAATAGATGGATGGAGTAGTAAACTTAGTGGAAGGTTAAGGGTCAGATGGGGCCAAACCCTTAATCCACCACGTGGTCAAGATGGTGAATTCAAGATGGCGAACTTCTGAAAAAATGCAAAGAAAGCCTGAATAAATAGATCAAGCCTTCATTGGCTAGCCTTTGAGAGGGAACCTAGAGGGGGGGGGGGTCCCTGGGACCCAGCCTGCGTCGCACTCTTCAAGGCACAAGCCAAAAAGTTGTAGAAAAAAGGGTAGAAAGTTGGACATGAATGGCAGAGAGAAAAGAGATCCTGAAATTAAACAAACTTTTGACCATTTACCATTGCAATAGCAAAAACTGTGTACTTCTAAGAATGGCATAAAATTAGGCTCTCTGGCTTTCCAGGGAACGCAGGAGGCATTTCAAAGGGGTTTCACGGCTCAGGCGTGATTCGTAGCACCCATTAAATGAGTAGTCAGTCTGGTGAGTGAAGGAGAGCTGACCAGGCAGAAACGGCGTCCCGACTTCCCCCAGAGCCCTCTAGAGAGAAATGGCCAAGCCCCCAAAGCCAAGCGTCCTCAGCTTCAGAGGTGACCGGCCTTTCAGCTAAAGGCCGTAGGAGCTCTCTGGCATGGTGCCACGTCTGGACAGAGACTGAGTAACAGATAGCCGTAGAGTAGTTTCACTCACCAGAGTAGAGAAGTGGTGTGGACGTGGATGTGAAGGCAGCAATGGTATCGATGCGCTGATTCCGCCGCAGACAGACTGGTTCGCAAAAGGCCATCAGAACTGTGGGTATTCCTCAGAGCAAAAAGGGAAGAACAAAAAAAGAAAAAAGAGGGAAAAAACAGAGAAATCCAAGCTATCCTGACTTTAAGCCTTTATCCGAGTCACGGCACCATTTATGTTAGGTTTTTAAAAAAGAGGTAGCCGAGTAAGAACAGCACCAGCACGCACGTGGTATTCAGGTAAGGGGTAGGTTTATTCAGTAGGCCTGCTGGGACCAGGCAAGGTTGGCACTCCACACGGCTGGGAAAGAGAGGAAAGAGCTAGAGCAGAGAAAGAGCAGAGAGAGCTAGAAAAGAAGAGCAAGAGCAAGACCAAGAGAGGAAGAGTGTCTGGGCCTGGGCTAGGCCTTATGTAGGGTATGGGCAGGGAAAGGTGTGGCCACATCAAATTCAGATGTGACCTCAGCGGATGCAGATGTGACCTCTTCCAGGTGTCCCAGTTGCCTAGGTAACGCAGGTACTGGGTGGAGACTTTGCTGCGAGGAGGGTGGAGTCTGCTTGCCATCCAGGGGTGGACCTTACACTTTTATACCACTCCTGGGCTTGTATCTTAAGGAATGCAAGTCATGGTACAATAGATATGCCTGCACATCCATGTTTATTGCAGCATTATTCACTTGTCAAGCTATACCATCAACCTAGGTACCCATCAAAGATGGATGGATCAAGAAAAAAATATGTATGTATGTATGTATGTGAAAGACCCCAGACTCCTGGGATACTTTCGTCAACTGGAGCGCGCCCCAGAAAACTCAGACTCCAGGCCGGGAAATGCAATAAGCAAGAGGAGTTTATTTGATGTTTGTGCAAACGGACTCTCTGCCCCGGTCAGTCAGAGAGGCGAGAGCAGCGGTTACAGGCATTCTTAAAGGCAAAATCCACAAGATTAGCATATAACACCAGGTGTCCCCGGATTGGCCCGTTTAAAAGTCACTATGTACTCCAGCAATCATTTTTACTACGTGGGGAAGTTTATAACACTCTTTGTAAAACAGTTGGCTCAGGGCAAGTCTAGGGGGAGCTGTCACCCTGGAGGGGAGTTTACATAGTTACAGGCTTGTGATTGATTAACATTTGGCCTAGTTTGCTGGACTTGCCAGGTGGTCCTTATCTTGGGTCCCATTCTTGGGTCCCATTCTTGGGTCCCATTTGGCCACTTGGGGAATTTACTTGTTTGCTCTTTATTTACGACTACAGAGCTTGTCCCAGGGCCGACATCTAGACTCCGAAACTTTTTATTTATTTCCAGGGAGGGGAAGGGTCAGTGCTAGCGCAAGCAAGTTTACAGAAGCAAAACCAGCAGTTAGCAATGTAAAATGTAACTCTAATTTTTAATTTTTCAGTATGTATGTATGTATATGTGTGTGAGTATGTATGTATGTGTGTGAGTATGTACGTATGAGTGTGTGTGTGTGTGTACACACACAATACAGGATTATTCAGCCATAAAAAAGAGTGAGATAGCCGGGCGCTGGTGGCTCACGCCTGTAATCCTAGCTACTCAGGAGGCTGAGATCTGAGGATCATGGTTCAAAGCCAGCCCGGGCAGGAGAGACCGTGAGACTCCTATCTCCAATAAACCACCAGAAAACCGGAAGTGGCTCTGTAGCTCAAGTGGTACAGAACTGGCCTTGAGCTGAAGAGCTGAGGGACAGCGCCCAGGCCCAGAGTTCAAGCCCCATGACCAACCAAAAAAAAAAAAAAGAGTGAGATAAAATTCCATCACTTACAGGAAAGTAGATGGAACTAAATGAAGATCATTGTGTTGGGCAACA